ATTGAAAATTCAGATATCAATGATTTTGATTATGAATTAATTTTTGGAACTCCTTACAGGGCAATTGATGCGGAAGTTCATGCTCCAGATAATCAAACATCAGAATTCTCAAAACATATTGATGATTCAACAATAACTACAACGTCAATATCTTGCGAAAGTGTGCATGAAGTTCGTATGGAAGGGGAGCATACGATCACCAATGAACAGAGAGGGAAAACATTCGAGGGGGAGAACGAAAATATGAATCATCAAGTTGAGGGGGATCATTCACAATTTCAACAGGAAAATCATTTCGAGGGGGGAGCATTAGGATGAATATCATGTTGAGGGGGAGCATGATGCAACAAAGACAATTAATCTTGATGAAAATGATGAATTTCATGAGTTAAATGATAATTCATCTATTGCAGGATCCCAAAAATGAAGATTTGTACGAAGATGCACCATTGGAATTTAATCCCGATTTTCCACCACTTGAAAAATGGACAAGGAATCATCCCCAAGAACATGTGATTGGGAATCCACAAGATGGTGTGTTGACAAGAGCTCAAATTCATGCGAAAAATGAGGTACTAAATGCGAACCAAGAGTTGTGTATGTTTAATGTTTTTATTTCGAAAATAGAGCCCAAAATAGTAAAGAATGCTATGGAACACTAAGATTGGGTTGTTGCTATGCAATCTGAACTGGCTGAATTTGAGTGAAATAAGGTTTGGAGATTAATTCCTAAACCTTCCGATGTTTCAATTGTCGGATTAAAATGGATTTTTAAAAATAAAACCGACAAAGATGGCAATATTATTCGAAGTAAAGCTAGACTAGTTGTTTAAGGATATTCGCAACAAGAAGGGATAGACTATGAATAAACATTTGCTCTTATTGCAAGACTCGAAGTAGTTTGCATATTTTTAACTTATGCAGCTCACAAAGATTTTGATATTTATCAAATGGATGTTAAGTGTGCATTCCTAAATGGAGAATTAGAAGAAACAGTCTATGTTGAATAACCACCACGGTTTATAAATGAGGAACATCCTGATCATGTCTACATCTTAGATAAAGCAGTTTATGGGTTAAAACAAGCACCAAGAGCCTGGTACGCAACACTTACCGATTTTTTCAAACAATCTAAATTTAAACAAGGATCAATTCACCCCACATTATTTCGCAAGAAAGTTGGGAATCATCTTATGCTTGTTCAAATTTATGTTGATGATATTATTTTTGGCTCGACTGACCTAGCATTGTCTATTGAATTTGAAAATTCATGAAAAGTAAATTTGAAATGAGCATGATGGGAAAAATTAACAATTTTGTTGGTTTAAATATAAGACAGAACAGGGATGGAATCTTAATCAACCAAGAAAAGTATACGAAGAATCTGCTTGAAAAGTTTGGAATGACAAACAGCACGAAGCTTTGAGTACCAATGGTAGTGGGAACAAGACTAACTCCTTCATTAGATACTCCTATTGTTGACATAATACTTTATCAAAGCATGATAGGGACTTTATTGTATTTAACTTCAAGTAGACCTAATATTATGTTTTCTATGTGTAATTGTGCTAGGTATCAAGATAATCCTAGAGAACCTCACTTAACTATAGTGAAAAATATTTTTCGCTATCTTAAAGGAACAATTTCTTAAGGACTTTGGTATCCAGCAAAATCGGGATTCTTCATTCAAGCATTTTCAGATTCTGATCTTGGAGGATGTACTTTGGTTAGAAAAAGTACAAGTGGTGGGTGTCAACTATTGGATGGAAAATTGGTAAGTTGGCAGTTAAAGAAGGAAACTTGTGTTCCTATATCAATTGCTGAGGCTGAATATATTTCAGCCGCTGCTTGTAGTTCGCAAATCATTTGGATTCAAAGTCAACTTCGTGATTATGAGATAAACATGAAAAAGATTCCCTTGTATTGTGATTCTCAATGTTCAATTCACATTTGTCATAATCCAGTACAACACTCAAAGAAAAAACACGTAGCTGTTAGATATCATTTTATCAACGATCATGTGGAAGATGGGAATATTGAAATACATTTTGTGAAACCCACTGAACAACTTGCTGATATTTTTACTAAACCTGTTGATGAAAAATCTTTTGTAAGAATTTTAGCAGGTTTAGGAATGATTGATGTGAATTCAGTTTCAAAATTGATAACACAAGAATGAAAGGTCCATTCAGCAGCTCTGAGACAAAACCATTCAGAAGTTACTATCCATTAAGAGACTTTGCATTGCTTCGCATCCTTACATCTGGTAACTAAGGCTTCATTTAATATTTTTTTAAAATTGAAAAATCAAAAGTATTTTCTTTTGTTTTGTTTTTATTTTCAAAAATCCAAAAATCCAAAAAGATTTTATTTTGTTGTGTCTTTATTTTTGAAAAATTCAAAAACCACAAAAATATTTTTCTTTCTTCTTTAAGTTTTGTGTGTTTTTAGTTTTTGTCAAGAACATAATGCGAAAAGGTCATGCGTATATATGTTTCTAAGGGAAGGTATCATTTCTTTCAACTTTGTACTAGTTAGGATGTCCTTAGAAGCATGCTGCAGCATGTTGACCCAAGCCTCATATGACTTTTTGTGTGAGAAATGAAAGCCTTAATGAAATTATCTCATGAAAATTTCTTCCCAATTAGGCTTGTATTCACATTAGCCAACAGAGCTACCTTACTCTTCTTATATGAGAAAAGAGTTTTCTGTTTGATCCACAAATAACAGAGGTACATTCGATCTTATAGCCAATCTTTTTCATCATAAAATTCTTAACACAAATCACACACAAAGACGTATGTCTGAGAGGTCTCTGATCAAACCAATCAAGGCCTATATATACAAAAATTTTGTGTTAATCATCTAACATCATGAGTCCGTGATGAAGGTAAAACCCAAACGTCTTACAACTTAAGGAATTGATGGGGAACATTGTTCTGGATATTGACGAAACTTTTCGTTCAGTACCAAAATTTGAAACTACAAATCATATTCATTTCGCATACGTGGTCTTGCGCAAACATTCAAAACCCACGATGTTTGTTATCCAACAAGATGCAATTCGTTAATTTTTTTTAATATGATTTTTGTGTGAGTTTCATTTGAATATTCTAGTCATGATAAACATTTTCAAACCTGACTTGTCACTGACTACACTGGTCATACAAGTAATTTTTGTTACAATTAATCACCTTATGTTTAGGATGACTTGTAACGAAATTTTAAACCAACCCAAGAATCCATTTTAAAAAGAAGCCCTTTGATACTTATCAAAAAGTATTCGATTGTAATTCACGGGAACATACACAAGCTGTTGATCATCTTTCTTAATGATTAACAAGGCAACCTTTGCCTGGGGTTTAACTGCTTTTATGTCAAAATGCATTTTTGACATCACAAAATTCCAAAAAAAAAATTATCTTGTTTCATATCTTATTTCTTTGGAACACTACACTCACGAAATCCTTGAGGTTCTAAGTAATACCAACTTAGACTAAAGATTTCGCAAGTCTGGCATATGACTTCGCTTTTCATCCCAAAAGTGAAAGAGACTTGCCTCCATCCGAAGGGTTCTAATGGTGACATTTCAATAAAGGGAATGTTGATAGGCTGTGTATACATGACGAATGGTATTCTGCACGGTTTTCTAGGTGATGTAATGGCTGCTTTTTCACACATGGCCAACTTTTCGCAGTAATGGTCCGATTTTCAAGGTGCCACGTCGGATATCATTAAATGCATCCCGCTTCAAATTCAAATCAATCAGGGTTATGTATAAAAGGGGGTTAAACAGGGTGTTATACGGTTACGCGATCAAACACAAAAACTCCCAAATTCTCTGATTCTTTCTTCTCTTTGAACCCTAACAATGGCTGCTACTCAATCCAACACCGATGAAGTTGTTTCACAGTCCCTTATGAAGATTCAAAGCACAAACTACCAAGTTGATCTTAATGTTTCATCCTACCCAGAAGAATTGAAGATGTTGGTCGTTGCTCTAAAAAGGTCACCATTATCAACTACAATGTTCAATTCTTTTTCTGTTCCTATGTCTTGGTTGTCAATGGCGGCATCAATTGCGTCATACAACTATACTACTGATGTAATAACCTTCAACCTGGTGAATAACAAGATAGTTCGTCTTACCAAGAATATGTTCATCAACTTCTTGAGCATTCCAAATAACCCACCTTTCTTTAAGTCAACAAATTCACAGATTATCTTCATCTACAATGAGATGGGTCATCAACCTACTCTTGAAAAGATAAGTGATTTCAGAAAATCAAGCCTACCATGCATATGGAACTTCTTATTTGGAATCTTTCTCAGATGTTTGACCGGGAGGAGTGCTGGTTTAGACAGGGGAAGAATGGAGGTTTATGCTATGGTGATGGGTCTTTACTACGATTTAAGTGTTGATTATCGAACTCAGCTATGGAAGGAGTCACTACTAGAAAAAAGGCCTTTTACAACTCTCATTCCGCGTTGCAAAACGTTCAGACGACGCGTAAATGCGCGTCAAGGAAGGCCCTATCATGACGAGAGATGACGTGCTTTTGCGCGTCGTCTATAGACGATGCACATTTATGACACGCAATTATGACGCTCGTTTACGACACGTAACGCGTATCAAGGAAGACCCTGTCATAAAGGAACATGTCACGCATTCGCGTGTTGTAACCTTATGACACGAGTGTTAATGACACACAATGCGTATCATTAAAGCCGCTATAAAGAAATGTCATCTCATAAATGAAGATGACACACATTTTTGCGTATCGTAATTGTAAATTTAAAAACTATATACATTGATAGATTTACTAATTTTCAAATTAAATTTATATTTCATATCTCATAATAGAAAATAAAAGATCATATACAAAAAATACAATCCATTGCACAAAAGTTAATGTCATACAAATAATCATTCTAATAGTTGACGAATGTAATACATCAAATGTGAAAGAGATGAAAGTCTTCAACAAATAACAGCTGAACTAAAAAAACTTGTTGCCCGCCTTCACAACATCTCGAGCTACTTTGCTTGACACTATGCACATCAACAAGACCTACAAATTTGAATAATGCAACCATTAGATTCACATAAACCAACAAATCCCAATATGTAAGCTTGAAATTTATGCATCCATGTTAAAGGGGTAAAATGGTTATTTATAGTTCATTCAGAGCAAAAAAGGAACAACTTTTTTCATTTACTACTTACTTCAACCATCTTTTGAACTTAATACTGAAATTCTGTGTATAGCGTCTCCCGTTACATTTCGCCTTCTAGAGACATCAGACATGTCTTTTTGCTTAACTCTAATATTTTCATTTGTACTTGAATGTTGATGTTAAAGCGAGTCACGTATACTTGAGCCTATCATAGCATTACAGAAATAATTACCTCAACCTTGAGTCTATCATCAGATCATAGAGATCCTGTAGCACCAGATCTCCCATCCTTGCCTTGTGGCTGATCACCATCTTTGGCTAAATAGCATATACACAATTTATTAACACGAATTCAGCAATGAAATAGACAAATAAGTTATAAATCTAAAACATTAAGTCATTTTGAGTTACGATTGCATAATTCACTGTGACAAGAGCAATTAAGTCAAACTGCATACTGACCTGAACAATTGATTAATAAAGAATTAGAAACTTGGCAGTACCTTTTTGTGGTTATTATGGGAAAAGCGTATATATGGAAAATGTGTAAATTTGGGATTTCTTACCTGTACCCATCTTGTAAGGTCTATGACACAGGGCCAATAACCATTTCAAACTTTACCTTTGTTAAAACTACACAAACTACATCACCTAAAGCAACAATATGTAAAGAATCAACACATTCACCAAGAAGTGTCCATTCTCCAAAATACCCCCTTCACTGAACTTTGCTATGTCATAACCATAGCATGAGAAGCACCATCTGTCATTACCAAACAAATATTTTCAATTGGGAATCCAATAAAAAAACCCCTGCACATATACAATTAAAAGAAGTTGAGTTTTTTTTTTATAAAAAGATATAAAGGTAATAAAACAAACAAATGTATGATTAATAATAATAATAACACTTACGAATTGGCAGCTTCCATGAAACATTTCTCAATGTGAGGGATAAAACTGGAGGGTATAGCCTGTCCTATTATCATGTTCTCAAATTCAAATTCCGTCTCTAATTCAGCTGCAAGTGGCTTTATATACCTATCATTTTTTTAAAGCAAAATATTAAGAAAAAACAGATCATGGAATGATGATGCTACTTAGATTTTTAAGCCGTTAATTGTTGATGAGATAATGGATTGTTCTTTCAGATTTTTTTTCTTACCAAGACAGAATGTTTTACATCTATCATATTTAAATAACTTTTTTAATAAAAAAAAGAGATTACTTTTCCTCATGGGATCTCTGTTATCCATCACGTTAGCAGGATCCTGCACTTACCCCAATATCTACGAGTTGAACCTCTTAGTTTTTCTTTTGAAGGGATCTGATCTTTTTGCCTTGTTATTTATCTCAGTTGGGAATGAAGGTGCAAGCTTACCAAATTGTGCATCTTTTTTCATTCCATCCAAAAGAAAAGTAATCAGAAAGAAATTGCATTTGACATATGTAGAGGTAAGCAATCAGAAAGAAAAGTATAATTGAGTTGCTTTTAACTGTGTAGATTACCTCTTCGAAGAGCAAATTGTGCATTTTTTGTCTTTACATCCGCCTCATCCAGAAGAACCAACTTCACCGAGGCTTTTACACTGATAAACAACCCACCAAGGAGATGCAAAAAAAAAAAAAAAGAACATGAGATCAAGCAACACTCCAAAATCAACAAACTATTAACGACCAAAGTAGGATACAATAATGAACAAATCAATGAAGTTGTATTCTTTTCTTACATGTGATGGTGAGTAATAAAACATTGGTAGTCACACAATAACGGACTAAGCTCCTTTAGAATTTTTCCAATGTTATCAGAGTGCTTCAACAGCCTGGAGTATTTATTATATATAATAATATAATATATTTCAGTCACATATGACAAAAATATAAACAAAAAAAAATAAAGATATTTTTACATGTTTATTGTTAAATGATTTATTTCCATTTATCCTTGATGCTAGTTCCAACATATATGAAATGTAGTTTTGTCTTTTGTACTTTTTAATTATCTGTTCGGGACAACCTTTTTTCTATTTTAGAAGGAGGCTGATTATTAGTGAAATACCATTTCTTATGAAAACCATCACCTGGAATAACATGATGAAATTACATTTGTAAGATGAAAACCATCACCTGAAATAACAAGTGAACCCCTGTGCAATTGTCCAAATCTATTTCTTAAAGGAATAATGGAGTGCAATATAGATGAAGCTACAAGGGCTAAAGAAATTGTTGAATTAAAATTCTCTATAAGGGACATGATGGGGGCCAAGAAATTTGCTTTAAAGGCCTAAAATTTGTATCCAGTGATTGATGGAATTTCCCAACTTGTAGCAGTTCTAGATGTGTATGTTGCTGTTGAAAACAAAATAAACGGTGAATTGGATTTTTATGGGATTCTTGGTGTTTGCTCATTAGCAGATGATAATACTGTGAGGAAACATTACAGAGCACTAGCTTTCTCTTTTCATCCATACAAGAATATATCAGAGGGAGAGCCTCTGAATTAAGACGAAGGTGTTCCATTTGCAAGAGTTTTTGGAAGGACCTTCAATGAAGACAAATTACTTTGAAAGCTATTCACATGAAATACATCAGCGTCTTTCTAATGATCTGAAGTAAACAATTACTTATTGTGAACAACTATATCTTTTATACATATCAGATTACTTGTTGAACATGAAAATGAAGGAGATGAAGAATACGAGGGCAAAATGGTCATGTTTAGAAATTTAACATATTTGTTGCTATTTTTTTTTGAAAGAGAATTTGTTGCTAAAGAAAAAAGATCAACGTATTACCATAAGAAAAATGACTAGCCAGCTCAGCCTTCTGAAGGACTAACACGTCAAGGGAGTGGAATCATTGGCTCAGTTGGCCAAGCTGAAGAGCTTCGTTGTGTAATTGCTATAGTTCGTCGATAAGATTTACAACCTTATTTTTTTTTTATAAACTAGGAAAAATTTCAAGAGATGGAAACATACTTCACTTGTTTGCAGTGGCGATAGGACTCCAAAGCAAAAGGTGAAGTTAAAGGACTTGTTAGATGCAACACGTAATTTGTGTATCATATCAGTTTTGACCTTGTCATTTTCAAGCATCCACTGCAAGGTTGTAAATCATTTCCAAGGTTATAACTCCTTTTATTTGGTTGCTTGCTTTCCGCATTGTCAATGATCACATCTGAACTAGTGATTCTTCAGAGGTTAACTCATGTCTCATATGTGATTCTTCAGGAGCAGGAGCTTGTTTGCTTATCCAGACAAAAATAATCTCTCCCTTTTCTCTGTAGTCGATATCTGAACATGTGATTCTTCAGGAGCAGGAACTTGCTTGCTTTCTGCATAGTCAATGATCACATCTAACAAGTTCAGCGACTAAAACACAGCAGATCAAATAGCAATTAGGGAAGAAGAAAAAAGATACATTTAATATTTTACCAAAAGAAACAAATGTGCAAATTCTACCTGCTCAAGATGTGCAATACTTCTCAAATAAAGGGGTTGATTCAAGAGGCTCAACAACATCGTTATGTCCAAGAAATCTCCTTGGTGCTTTTCTATTTCATTATCTTCAACAACCATGATGGCTTTTCCATGAGACTTATCAGGAGTAATAGTATGGGACTCCGAGGGGAATCTGAACTGAAGCCAAAGTTTTGCAGAAAATGTATGATTCCTAGCCAAATACGTCAAATGCCATCTTGAATTTTTATAAACTTTACTAGACTGAGGATTTTGACTATTCAAAGCAGATTCTTATAACTACTTTTGACATAGCTTCCATGTGCAAGAATTACTTCAAAACACAATAATACATAAAAGAAAAATACATATAATCTACCTCTATGTTATTGCTATTGTACATTACACTTCAGATTTAATAAAAACATTTGTAGTTCTTTGCTCAAAATATATAATATAGCATGAAAACACAAGAGTCACTCATTGGGGCATTTTATCAAACAGTTCGTGTTCACCAAAAAGTGTCCCTAAACAGGCAGTGATTAATTATTCAAATATTACCAGGTTGTTGTCTTATGTAGTAACAAAGCAACCAAAAATAACAAGCAGTAGCCTGGGTTGTAGGAGCCTAGAGAAATAAAAAATCAATTGTGTTTAGAAGATTCAAAAGATTTACAAATAGCATAAAAGATTTACTGATGACTATACTGAGATTTGATTACTCACCTGCCTATATAAATGCATCATGGTTCCATCATTGGCAGTGGATAACAAGTTCACGACCTGAACCACTCTGTAGTCATGAAACCTTGTGGTGAGATTCTTAAGGGTTTCAACGACCCTTGTAGGCTCGAGAGTAACCAAGTCGCAGGGTTGTGATGCCATATCGGGAATCCATAGCCAAGACGGGTGAAGGAACAAGACGATTTAAAAAGATAACTCTAAAATAGGAGATAGAAACCTAAATTTCCTTTTAGGTTTTGAAAACATGAATTCAAGGAGAGGAGGAAAACTTCTTGGGCTTAGAATCCCTAGTTCTTCGTCATAGAGCCCTCAATCGTAATGATTTTGTAAGGTCTATTTTTGGGAGCAAAAAACCCTCAATCTCAATAGTCTTGTTCGCCTTAAGATTTGATGATGGTGAAAGCTAAACTCAATCATCTCCAAACGATTACATATGATTTCAACCCTTTGTAACAACCTCTTCAATTGTTCTATCATGTCTCCTACCAATCGATCACCACCAAAAACCCTAGCACGTATTAAGTCGATAGAAAAAATGAGAGAATTGGGATTTTAGAAGAAAATAAAAGACCTCCCTACAAAGAAGGAAGACGCACGTTAGGGTTCTTCTTCTGTGTGTTGTTTTGATTTATCTATGGGAAATTAAAAACAAACGAGATTGAAATTCCATACTTCATAGTGACAACTCATGGAATTCACAGAGCTTCATCAAGCCAAACCATGGAAAAGAGAAAAGTAGAAATGAAGGAAGGTGATAAAACGGCGGAGTTTTCTAATTTTTGAGGATTTCGTTCCCGCTTAGCTATCAAAGTTTGGAAAACGCATGTTCCATTAAAATTTATAAAGCGACATCCTTAGACTTCACACATTTTAGTATAGGTGCCCTCCGTGTTTTTTAGTTAGATACTAATTTAAGGGCACGCAACAATGCGTGACCTAAATCCTTAAAATTTTTTAAGAGATGACACTCTTTTAATGTCATACTCTTTTGTGTAACATAAATCAAGGAGTATCGTGGTTTGCGCATCGTAAAAGGGTCTTTTTCTTGTAGTGAGTTCAACAAAAGTCTTGAAAACACAAGTGTTGAGAAGGTGATTTCTTGTGCTAGGTACTGGAGTTTAATTTTGGAAAAAGTATACGCAAAAGAAGGAATTCAAGTTCCTGAAGATGAAGAAGTTGCTGAATTTTCTTTATATCAATTTCCAAAAGTTGTTGAAGATGATGAAAATATCTTCACAAGTGTGGCAAAAATTCCTGATGCGATGCTTCACAAAGTTTCGCCTACTCACAAGGTGTTAGTTTGCTACACGAAAACGTCTGATCATAATGTGCGAACTGGAGTGTTGCTTGAAGTCACTGCTGAGTCTTCAAAGAAAAAGAAGTAAAATCAAAAGAAAGACAAACAAGAATCTTCAAAAGTGTCGAAGGATGAAGGATTTGAGAAAGATAAGTCTTCTCCCAAAAACAAGAAGGAAACAATACCCGCAAAATCAGGGGTATTAAAGAAGCTTCGCAAATTATCACAAACAACAACTACTTCACCTACTATTCGTAAAATTAAGGTGAGTAGTAAGGGAGCTATATTTAGAGACGTTCCATCTCCTGTTTCTCCTAGCTCAAAAAGAAGAAGAGAAGTAGAGGTTGCGAAGCATATTACACAAAAGCTCTACAAGAAACGAAAGCTAGTTATTCAAAATGAATCATCAGATGATGAAGTGGTTCCCGAAACTCCACCTTTTTCCACAACGGTAACTATTACTCTTCCAATCATTTCAAAAATTTCCACCACCACATCCACACCACTTGAAGTTCTTACACATACTTCAATTCATGAAGAAGAGATTATTTCTGATAAGGTTGTAAACGTATCTAATACGAAGACACTGTGACAACCCCAAATCAATTCCCGTTACAAATCCCATTTTCACTAACGGAATACGTTAACGTACATTATTTTATGTAATATTTGGAATCGTTAATATCTGAATATCTAATTTTATGCATGTCCTAATATCATTATAAGTAATATAACTCATACGTGTTAATCTAGTTTAACCTAATAGAGTTGTATTACTATTTCAACCACTTCACCCGGGTAAAAAGTTTTAACCCCGTTAAACTTTAGCATCGGGTAGCCGTGTATTGGGTACAATACCCGAGACATATAAAAACACTTGAACACTTCAATTGGACTCTTTTACCACAATTACACCTCTCTCTCACTACTTTCTCTCTCTAGACCCGAAATCGACTCCAAATCCGCGAATTTCCGACTTCCAAACGTAAGGATTCATCCCCTAACTTAATCTAATCATACTTTACTGCTTTTAGAGTCCAAAATCATGAGAATCAAGGACCATAAAGGAGTTTACGGCCTAAGAAGCTCCTTAGGCCGTAAACCCCCAAAATCATGCCAAAGATCAAGTTTTTCCTCATGTTAAGCTAGTATACTAATTAAGGCATGTATCTAGAAGGGTTTGGACACTAAAACACATGGATTAGACATGTAAAAAGGAGTTCACGGCCCAAGCATGTGCTTAGGCCGTAAACACCTCAAACACCCCAAAAACACTTGTTTAAAGTCCCAAAAACTCTTCTAAGATGTTTGGTAAATTGGACTTGACGCTAAGGAACACTTAAATGCATCAAACAACTCCATTTGAGGACAAAATGAGGAGTTTACGGCCTAGCTTAAGCTTGGGCCGTAAACACCCAAAAATTTGTGTCAAACAAGTCCCTAAACTACCCTAGTGCTTGTAAGGAATTTAGTTAAGGCCTTTGGAAGTGTGTTGTACCATTTAACTTCACATTTGGACACAAAATGAAGAGTTTACGGCCAAGGGTGTTCTTGGGCCGTAAACTCCCCAAAAATATATGCCAAATTGTCCCAAACTCACTATATGGCCTTCTAGGATTTATCTAAGGTGTATGAGACTTTGTTGTACCAATAAAACATACATCTTGAAGGGTTTACAAGAGTTTACGGCCCAAGAACAAGTCTTGGCCGTAAACTCCCCAAAAATGTCACAAATTATGATGTTCAATCCCTTAAAATAGTCTAAGACACATACGACTAAATCAAGGAAGTGAAATAAGACCTTAAACATACACTTTGGAGTGCCACACGAGTTTACGGCCAAACCTAGGGGGTTTACGGCCGTAAACTCCCAAAGGATGGCTTTTGGGCCATAAACACCAAAGGAGTGAGCTCGTGAACCCTCCTGTAAATCATTCATGACCTTGTACCACTCCCGGGAACCCCTTCTAAGCCTTAAAACCCCGAAAACGATGCTAGAATGTCCAAATACTATAATGAAAAGCAAAAGATGACTAACTTCTTGTAAAATACATATTTCATATGACATTAGGGTCCTAGGAGGTGCTCAAGAGGTTATTGAGTACCAAACGCTCAATCGACACTTTTACCCGATTTACCTGATTTCCGCGATTTCAGGTGAGTTCATACCCCTTAATGAACCTTTCAAATGTTTTATATGTTTTAGGGGGGAGATACAAGTGATTATACATGTTTATGAAAAGTTATACAAGACTATTTTTCAGATTTCAGAGTTAATCACATGTGGTTCCCAATCTGTAGTTCAAATCACATGTGATTTATCACTATGCTTTATAAATAAATCAATTGTCTTCAAAACTATCTTGGATTAACAAACAAGTTTTAAATGTTCCTTTCGTACAATACTTCTGTTAAATAAAACTCTTTATGAGAATGAAATCATACTAATATATTTATATAAGTAAGACTTGAAAGACTTAGGACCGATAGCTCGCCTTATTTCCTGTTTCTTGTTTGATTGTGGACTTAGGGTAGTAGTTATCCATCCGACCGTCATTGATTTCTTAATTATATATCTCATATATTAGTACATATTATGAGTACTTCTTAATTCATTAATTACCTGAATCACTACTTGATTAGAACCACATATACTAAATTAACTATAATGGGTATAGTTAAGGACTCTATCCCTTGTTTCCACTATTACTCTACACTACTATAATTCTCTATAGTACGAAGCAATACACTAATAAGAGAATACAATACAAGTTATACAAAAGATTACTTCACTATAATACAAGAGAATGCACTAATCATGAGATAAATCACTAATCCACTACGGGATACTCTATACGCTATTCACTATGCCCGAAGTTTTCCGACAGGAAGACGACACTATATGTATAGATCTATACGGGGTAGACGCTATTACATCCCGACTGATAACTTCAGTCCGAGCCGTTCAGGCCCAGGGTTGCTTTTACACTACTACACTATGCATGACTGGGAAGGTCATGGGGGTTCGCTATTACTCACACTATTGGGAATATACTAGAAAGACACTATAACCGCACTAAAATACTAAAAGAAAGATGAGGTAATATCCCGAAGTAAATAAGTATCTAATACTAAAGGATTCTGCACCACTATTATATACTCTAAGAATAACTCACTATACTACATTACTTAATGTTCTGGAGAATATGGGATTTTCTAGGTTTCACCACTATTTATGATTTCAAACTTCAGTTTTCATAATAATGACTCTAATGCTTTTAAAGAAGTACCCACACTAAAACTCTTATGAACTCACCAGCTTTATGCTGATATTCTTTTCAAAATAACTTGTATCTTCAGGTCAAAGATAGACAGGTACAACAGCAGCATTTTTGGAGAAAATGGAGGATACAAGACCCATCTCTTATTTTTGTTTACTTTTGGTGTTTGTCAAACATTACAAAACACACTTTTAAATACACTTGTTATGTAAATGAAATGGTTGTATGTTTCTTGTTTTTACTATTATACAATTGTGATGATACTGTACACTACGTCATCCACCCCGAAACGTATTCCGCCGTTATCGGTTTTGGGGTGTGACAGATTGGTATCAGAGCATTGTTTATAGTGAATCAAGTATATCAACCTATAAAAGATATACGAACTATAAACACTTCGGGACTAAAACACTCTGACCAAGAATATATACTGTTAAGTATCTAAAAGATTTAACTAAGTATATATACACACATCATTATAAAACACAGAAGTCAGTATCGTCCCAGAACCAAACAAAAGTATTAAGATTGTTGGATAGCACAATTGAGCTTAGAGACATATA